GGAACAGGCTGCCCAGGGAGGTTGTGGAGTCTCCTTCTCTGGAGGTATTCAAGACCCGCCTGGACAAGGTCCTGTGCAGCCTGCTGTAGGTGACCCTGCTTCGGCAGTGATTCTGTGAAATAATGAAAACAGCCCCTGCGAACAACAGAAAAAGTGATGTGGCATCGCTGAGTGACTTCTGGCTGGTCCCCCCTCTGTTTGTCTGTGGTCCTCCAGCTCAGATACCCCCGATTAGAACTGATTTTACCCCCAGTTGGAACTGGTTTTTAGAAAGATGATTGGATATCAAGGATAAACTCAAGTCTTTCTACTGCTGTTTAATAAAAAAGCCTCGGTGGCTTCGCGGCGCCCTCGCTGCTGTCCACATGCGCTGAACACGCCAGAAGCAGCCCGCAGTGATGTTATAACTGGGGCAGGTTTACCTTGGAGAACTTGGGTGTTGCAGTCCATAGCAAGTGCGTGCACCTGCTCGAGAGCTACGGCAGTGCCAAGCACAGACCTAGAGACGCTTTTTTGCAAGCCTTTTGTCTTAAAAAGTCCAAAAATTACGGAAGAAACGGAAGAAATGGGGCCTTTCGGTTAGTAACAGGCTCCACATCACGTGGAGGAGGTGTTCTGACTTAGCGGACAGGTAGCCCCTTCGCAGTCCTCGGAGGACGGCATTTCTCTGAACGCTGAAGCATCGCCTGTACTTTCTGCTCCCACCCCTTGCCCCCCCTCGCTCCCCCTGCCCCGATGCCCCTGCTTTAAGCCTGGCGTGGAGGGATGCTGGTCGCAGAGCTCTGGAGCACGGCGCTGTCGCCCCGCTGGTTCCTCCCCAAACCCAGGGCCAAAGCGCAGCGCAGCCGGGCGCTCTGCCCGTCCCCGGGGCTGCAGGGTGGCAGAGTCCCTGCGGCTGCTGCCCAGCTGTGTCCCTGCCCAAAACTGGGGAGGGCTGGCGATGGGGAGGGATGCGATGCAGCACCGGGGTTTGACCGCCCTGAGGAGGGATCCTGCTCCCAAAGTATCTCCCGACGGCACCGGTCAGACCCAGTGCTCTCTTGCCTCGTTTTTCTAGTGGGTGATACTGGAGACAAGGTCTGGTGAGGTGTGGAGCGGTGGCTGATGTGGACTAGACCACCATGAACAGGAGCGAGCTGTCCTCCCCCGAGGCGTGAGCTGCGCGCTGTCCTCCCTGCTAATAACTTCGCAGACGCTGTTGGGAACTCCAGCCCTGGTTGTAGCAGCCCTTTTCATCTTCCCTGCGTAAAGTGCTCGGCCACACGCGCAGCTTTCAGTGCTCACCCTGCGCTGACCTGCACTGGGGTGTGGTGGGCTTGGCATGGGGTGGACGGGACCTTCTGCCAGAGTTGCTGAGGTTTGTCCCTGTCCCCAGTGACGTCGTTTTCCTTGCCGTTGCAGTGCCCATCTACGTGCCGTTCCTTATCGTGGGATCTGTATTCGTCGCCTTCATCATCTTGGGGTCGCTGGTGGCGGCTTGCTGCTGCAGATGCCTGCGGCCCAAGCAGGAGCCCCAGCAGAGCCGAGCCCCCGGGGGCACCCGCCTGATGGAGACGATCCCCATGATCCCAAGCGCCAGCACCTCCCGGGGCTCCTCCTCCCGCCAGTCCAGCGCCGCCGCCAGCTCCAGCTCCAGCGCCAACTCGGGGGCCAGAGCCCCCCCGACCAGGTCCCAGACCAACTGCTGCCTGCCCGAAGGGACCATGAACAACGTCTACGTCAACATGCCGACGAACTTCTCGGTGCTGAACTGCCAGCAGGCCACCCAGATCGTGCCACACCAGGGGCAGTACCTGCACCCCGGGTACGTGGGCTACGCCGTGCAGCACGACGCGATGCCGCTGAGCCCGGTGCCCCCCTTCCTCGACGGTTTGCAGGGCGGCTACAGGCAGATCCAGTCGCCCTACCCGCAGCACACCAGCAGCGAACAGAAGATGTACCCGGCCGTGACGGTGTAGCGCCGGCGCCTTCCTCCCCCCTCCCCGCCCGGGAGATTTCAATACCCAAGCTGAACTGAGGAGAAATACTTCCTCGGAACGAAGCTCCCGGGACGTCGCTTGTACATAATTCCGAAAGGCTCATGCATGTCAGACAGTGTTTATAAACCATTTATTTTCATCGGGGTCTGCTGCCAGGAACTCTGGGATGATATCTCCGAATTAACGCTGCCAGCTACGCTCTCATTCCAGTGCGTGATTTACAGCGGCGAAGGATTACGCTGGAAGTGCGTTATGTGTTGCAGATCGCTGTGCTTGCGAGATAAACGCCGGAGCCGTTAAGTGCCCTTCAGGTATGACATGGTCAGAAGTATTTGCCTAATTAATTCGTAGAAAGAGTTGTGTTACACTGTACGAGACGGCTGTACTGAAGAAACCTCTTTTCTCCTCTCCCAGCTCCTTACCGACGCTTCCCGTTGCTTTACAGACAATCACAGCCGAGAGCCGAACGCTGCAATCCCTGCGTGCCAGGTGCTGGTACCAGCCCCCATCGCTTCTCGCGCACCCCCGGTTCGGGGCAAAATGCCACGAAAGGCTTAGTCTTGCAAAGACCAATTTTCCTGGTATTTATGTAGGAATTAGAAGAGCGGGAATTATTCGGCTCTTCCTTCCGGTGCACTTGAAACCCTTCTTGATTTGGTTTTGCCTCGAGATCAGGACCGAGTAGTGGTTTGCACAGACTTTATCTTTGTGAACTTTTTACTGAAAACAGGGTACGAGGTGCTTGCTCTTCCTGACGCTCCACCGAGCCGTCGGTGCAGCTGGCAGCGTCGGAGCTGGGGCTGCCTTGGCAGAGAAAGGTCGCGCTCTCGCCCCGAACACGCCGGATGTATCCTCACCTCCCACGAAACAGAAAACCCGTGTGAACGCGCGCAGACCTGTCAGCCCCAAACCCCGCTTGCGATCGGGTCTGACCGTAGGAAAACGGGCTTTGCCCCCCCCGCCAGCTCCGAGTCCCCAGCCCGGTGCTGTGGGGGTGTCACACGCAGCCAACCCAGCCCG